GTATGTATGTATATATATATATATATATATATATATATATATCACTTTTTTTTTGTAATCTTATTGCTGTGATAACAAAACCAAATTTTCAGCAGCCATTAGCCATTATGATGCTTCAGAAATCATTCGAATATGCTGTGAAAATTCTGTCACCATTTACTCACCCTCAAGTTGTTCCAAACCTGTATGAGTTTCTTTCTTTTACTGAACATAAAAGATTATATTTTGAAGAGTTGCTGGTACCCCTTGACTTCTATAGTGTGAAAAAAATACTGAAACTGTTTGGTTACCCACATTCTTGAAAATATCTTCTTTTGCGTTCAGCAGAAGAAATAAATGAATACAGGTTTGGAACAACTTGAAGGTAAGGAAATGATAACAGGACGATTATCAGTGATTAAACGTATAAAAGAATAAACAGTTGTGCTGCATAATGTTTTTATGGAAATTATGATATCTTTTTTTAAGGATACTTTTAAAAGGCCAGTCATTTTTGACTAGGAGGTATAATTATTTGTTTGCTATTTTGTTATAAATGTGAAAAAAAAAAATTACATATAAAGAGGACTAGAGGAGAGAATATGGGGTAAGGGTCAATGGTAATCATCCATGATGGAGAATGGATAAAATGGCTTTTAAAGATCTGTTCACAGTAATGGAAGGTAAATTCAGAGGGTTAATTTAGTCATGTAAAATAAAAATAAAAAAAATTTACCTTTATCCTCTCAATACTGGCCTCGACTCTAAGTTGCTGTACCATCCTCCTAGCATGTGCCAGGTTGTTTGAGCCCACCATTTTAGAGGACATTTTTGAAACCATATAACTGCAAAAACAAAAAACAAAAAAATAAATAAAACCGTTATAAATCTACAAATATCATAAAACAATCACACCACAACAACATAGCATCACCTTGTGCATCACCAGTTTCTCAGCATCAGAGAACAGAAAACATCTGACTCAGTGGATGAAGATTATGACACTTCATTGACAAATCCAACCTCCAACTTGTCGAATCAACACTCTTACAGTAACAAATGGAATCAGAAGCATTTGCACAATAAAAACATACAGGAATGAATGCACAAGACAAGAGTCTACACAATAAGACTGTACCGTTATCTATTAAAGTCAGTATTCGGCACATGTACTGACCTCTACGGTCCCACACCCTTAGAGTCTGATATCCTTACTCACAAAAACTGGAAGGCTATGTGCAGTAGTTATTGACAGACACTCAAATGAATCTTAATTCTCCACAGATAAAAGGACGAAACCTTCACATGAACTAAAGTGATGCAGTAATTAAAGTGCTTGTTCTGTGGCAAACAAGTTATGTCTTGAGCTTAGCCAACAGCATCCACAATTGGATTCATTAATATGACAGTCCTGTATAATATGCACTTCAGGCATGCCTTGCTTACATTTGATTTAATATATATTTTATGCCACTAATACAAATCTACCCTGAAAGACCTGAATGTTTTTTGAGATTGTTGTTTGGTTTAATAAGCCAGTCTAATAGGATAGGGTAAATGAATAGCTCTTTGTTCAAAGAAGGGATGGGTCATGATGGTCAAAAAGTTCATTTGTTATTATACATAACAAATTCAAAAGGTCCTGTAATGTATTATTCATTTCCAGGTTCCTGCATTCTCTCAACTTAAGATAACTGGAATACCTCATGAGTACAGCACAATGAGGTAGGAAACACCATCTATTGTCACTCAAACATACTATAACAAAAGAGACAAAAAGTTAATTTTTACTGACTTATGGTTAAAGGAAGAGGAAATATTGCAGCATTTTTCCCTCTGGTTACTGTTACTAGTCTGTTACTGGTTCTCAAAGACAAAACATTTCTTCACATGGGACCTGTCCTACTTTACCTGGCTTGAGGAAGTTTGGCAGTGGCATGATGTGACACACTTACAAAAGCGGGACAGTGTTACAGTGCTCTCTATGGGGAAAGGTTACATTATAACAAATGCCCTTCCATAATATCCA